TACCAATTATTCTGTCTTGTTTTGGATTTCCACAGGATGACCAAGCAAAAAATATCACTGCTATATCATTATGCTCTGTTTAATTTTCTTGGCATCTTTTTGAGTTGGTGTCTCAGTTAGTGTAATACTGTTGTTATATATTTTAGCAAATCCAAAAGAAAGCTAGGCATCTCTCAGAAATATGTTATTGACTCAAATCTGTGGTCTAATGAGCTTTCTACAAACTTTTATATGCGACCCAACAAAGGTCAAAATGATAAGAACAGAAACGTAAATAGGAAAAAACAAGGGTTAGAATAAACTGATTGCATTGCTTTTTCATATCTTTGGGTTTTCAGTACCTTTGGCAAGATGGCAGAAATTATTTAATTTAAATTAAAATTTCATAAAACCCCTTATTTTTTTAAATTTCACCTGTAGTACTATGCACACACATACATCATGCCAGTGTAACCCATCTAGATGACCATAAGAGTAATGAAAGTTTGTGGAGTATTTAGTGAGATTATAAGCAAATATAGTGCCTGCTTTCTTAAGAAGCAAGGGTGCTCTTTAAAATTAAATAAGTTTCTGACTGCCTACCTAGCTCAGACATTTCTACTGTAGCCAATATTCTAATAGCAAGTTGTTAACTATTTTAGTGCGAACAAATGGTCCCGTGAAAGCAATAAGAATGAATCCAAAGGAAAGGGACAAGACCAGGAATAAGGAAGAAATCTGTGGTAGCAGAGTTGTTTTTTCCCCATAATACCTCCTGATAACTACTGTTAACATTTGTTTAGCACTGAAAATGAACTAGGTGCTTTACAGAGCATATCGGAGATATACGTCTTGCTCTGAAGAGATTATGAGTTAAATTCTGATTGCGGTATTCATGTTGTCTAGTAATTGGCTCAGCACAAAAGAAAAGCCCTTATGCAAAGACAAGACAAAAGTTGTCTATTTGAAGAAGCCGTTCATTTCCCTGTTGTATCTGTCATAACCTATGGTCAATATTTTTTTCTGCTGGCCTGAGATGAACATTAGGTCTTTCAGTACTGGAATAATCTCTGAGGGATCATACCTTTGTAATGAATATTATGCTGGTTGACTCCACAATGTCCCTAACAATCACTTGTCCATCATGAAACTTCTCTGCTCTGCAGTGATTAGCTATTTTCTCTATTGAGTACTCGGGCCATGTTCGAAAGAGATCTAAACCTCTGAAAAGGAAATATATGCAGATAATTTTTCATATGACCACTGTATCCTATCAAGAGAACTACTTTCACCAAGGAAAATGTGTTCTTTTTGCTGTTGTAACTGATAGGAGAAAGCAGCATTAGTGGCTTTGGTTTACTGGCTTAGACTTTAGCTTTACTGGCTTAAGCCTTGGTTCTGTAAGTTACACTAGGCAGACAAACTCCTGAACATGCTTGAAACCTCAGTAAATTAACTAGGGCCCCACCTACACATTATATTTAAGGCATGGTTAACCAATTGTGACCGAGCTACTTAGTCAATTAATTAATGGTATGATAAAACAAGGAATAAGCTACAAACTTATGCCACAAAAACAGGGAATAACTTTGTGGCTTGTTCTTATCATGCCATTAATTGAATGTGTGGCCATCTGATGGGGCTCCCAGCCATAGAGGAGTACCACCCACTGCAAGTCCCGCAGCTGATGGGGCTCACAGCAGGACCAGTGTTTTCTGTTGGAGTCCATGTGGAACGCTGGCCCTGTTGCAAACCTCTTCAGCTGACGGGGCTCACAGCAGGGCCAGTGCTTGGAACCCATGTGGATCACTCACCCCACTGTGAGCCTCATGAGGTGACAGGGCTTGCAGTGGGGGCAGTGCATTAAATGCTGGTCCTGCTGCAAGCCCCATCAGTTGATGAGGCTCACAGCAGTGGCAGTGCATGGAATGCTGCCCCCACTGTGAGCCCGTCAGCTGTGGGCCTTGCAGCAGTGGGAGCCAGTGCAGGGGAAGACCAGGATCATGATCCTGGGCTTTGCCTACACTGGCAATAAGGTGTGACTGGATCTGATGCTCAATCCCACAATCACACCTCCTGCTATTCACAAGTAACACAGCAGGAGGTGTGACTGTGTGGATTGTCTGTCAGATCCTATCACCTAAACACCTGCAGGAGCCCTAGGATTGAGATCCTTAAAAGCGATATCCTTTTAAGGGGGCCAGAGGGTGCCACACAATATTAGCACTGTTAGATATGCAAACATCTACACAGAATTCACAAGACAAATCCAGATATTTCAAATAGGAATCCATAGTGTCAAAAACCTTCTGGCTTGTTATAGTCTTCATGAGCAATTTGCAACAGAAGGACTGCTCTTTTATTTTTCCTCAGTCCAAAATCAGTGAAAGCTAAGAGCTGACATTTTCCAAGGGGTGCCTTGAATCTAATGAGAGTTGTCTTGAGTCTAAAAAGATTGAGAACCACTGCCTTGGAGTGTTCTAAAATTGCATATAGAGTGGATGTCAGGACGATTATGTACATTAGAAAAGAATAAAAGCAAACTCATCCTTACATTGATAAAAAAACTACAGACTTATTGTTCTATGACAACATTCACTGTAATTCTCAAGTGTTTTTTTTCCCCGCTTCTTTCTCGGTATGATGAAAAACTTG